GCAAACCTGGTCAAGACCTACAGGAAACGTATGATCTCTGTAATTGCAAACAAAGGTTTCTGTACCAAATATTAAGTTCTGCTTTTCTGATGTATCAAATACTAATGTCATGCAATAAAATGCAAATGAATTACTTAAAAATCACAAAATCTGATTTTATGGATTTTTGTTTTAGATTCCGTCTCTCACAGTTGAAGTGTACCTATGATAAAAATGACAGACCTCTACATGCTTTGTATGTAGGAAAACCTGCAAAATTGGCAGTGTATCAAATACTTGTTCTCCCCACTGTGTATATACACACACACACACACACACACACACACACACACACACACACACACAGAAACGCACAAACTGGTACACATCTTCAGTTTGTTTTTCAATTTATTATTACAGACACACACCCACACACCCTCTGGCCATCTCCAGGGACATTAGAAACAACAGCACAGTTTCACTGTTTATATTGGTCTGTTTTCCTCCACATTAATACTTCATTTCCCAGGAGAAGGGCTGTGTGTTTCACTGCTGTCGGATTGGATCCAGTCAGAGTGATATCAAGAGCTAGACCTAGATAACTGGGCTCTCTACTGAACTGTTGTTGTTCGGGTTCTGCTTTGTTGCAGCCATAGAATTAGGAAATAGAATACTTTAATAGGATCTCTATGGTTGCAGCATGACACGCGCGCACACGCACATGCACGCATGCACACACACACACACACACACACACAGTATCTTCCACTATCTCTTTTTAGACTGTCAGTCCCCATAATCTAGCTTCCATAAACATATCAACCTTGATCCAGTGAAGTGGGCAGTCCACTGGTCCTCTAGCGCTAGATTCCTGAATCCTGACATCTCTCGAACATATCTCTCCCTGCTCTCAGTTTTCTATTGCTTTCTATGTTTTCTCTCTCTTTTTTTTCTCCAGTTTTCTCACTGTTTATCTGAGTTAGCCCAATTGAGATACAAATATATTTTGTCATGGGATTGCTAGTCCTGACCACTATGCCCACCCAGTCCTTTTATGACCCCATTTCAATTATACACTGCTCAAAAAAAATTAAGGGAACACTTAAACAACACAATGTAACTCCAAGTCAATCACACTTCTGTGAAATCAAACTGTCCACTTAGGAATCAACACTGATTGACAATAAATTCCACATGCTGTTGTGCAAATGGAATAGACAACAGGTGGAAATTATAGGCAATTAGCAAGACACCCCCAATAAAGGACTGGTTTTGCAGGTGGTGACCACAGACCACTTCTCAGTTCCTATGCTTCCTGGCTGATATTTTGGTCACTTTTGAATGCTGGCGGTGCTTTCATTCTAGTGGTAGCATGAGACGGAGTCTACAACCCACACAAGTGGCTCAGGTAGTGCAGCTCATCCAGGATGGCACATCAATGCGAGCTGTGGCAAGAAGGTTTGCTGTGTCTGTCAGCGTAGTGTCCAGAGCATGGAGGCGCTACCAGGAGACAGGCCAGTACATCAGGAGACGTGGAGGAGGCCGTAGGAGGGCAACAACCCAGCAGCAGGACCGCTACCTCCGCCTGTGTGCAAGGAGGAGCACCGCCAGAGCCCTGCAAAGTGACCTCCAGCTGGCCACAAATGTGCATGTGTCTGCTCAAACGGTCAGAAACAGACTCCATGAGGGTGGTATGAGGGCCCGACGTCCACAGGTGGGGGTTGTGCTTACAGCCCAACACCGTGCAGGACGTTTGGCATTTGCCAGAGAACACCATTATTGGCAAATTCGCCACTGGCGCCCTGTGCTCTTCACAGATGAAAGCAGGTTCACACTGAGCACATGTGACAGACATGACAGAGTCTGGAGACGCCGTGGAGAACGTTCTGCTGCCTGCAACATCCTCCAGCATGACCGGTTTGGCGGTGGGTCAGTCATGGTGTGGGGTGGCATTTCTTTGGGGGGCCGCACAGCCCTCCATGTGCTCGCCAGAGGTAGCCTAACTGCCATTAGGTACCAAGATGAGATCCTCAGACCCCTTGTGAGACCATATGCTGGTGCGGTTGGCCCTGGGTTCCTCCTAATGCAAGACAATGCTAGACCTCATGTGGCTGGAGTGTGTCAGCAGTTCCTGCAAGAGGAAGGCATTGATGCTATGGACCGCCCGTTCCCCAGACCTGAATCCAATTGAGCACATCTGGGACATCATGTCTCGCTCCATCCACCAACGGCACGTTGCACCACAGACTGTCCAGGAGTTGGCGGATGCTTTAGTCCAGGTCTGGGAGGAGATCCCTCAGGAGACCGTCCGCCACCTCATCAGGAGCATGCCCAGGCGTTGTAGGGAGGTCATACAGGCACGTGGAGGCCACACACACTACTGAGCCTCATTTTGACTTGTTTTAAGGACATTACATCAAAGTTGGATCAGCCTGTAGTGTGGTTTTCCACTTTAATTTTGAGGGTGACTCCAAATCCAGACCTCCATGGGTTGATACATTTGATTTCCATTGATAATTTTTTTGATTTTGTTGTCAGCACATTCAACTATGTAATGAAAAAATTATTTAATAAGATTATTTCATTCATTCAGATCTAGAATGTGTTATTTTAGTGTTCCCTTTATTTTTTTGAGCAGTGTACTTCTCACTATCATCCTAGTAGCTTAGTGGTGCTCTCTAATGGATCTATTCACAGCATGTTTCAGTTCTGATTGTAAAAAAGCCTACCACCTATGCTAGAAATCAGGTTACTGCTGAACTTATTGACACCTCAATGAATGTAGTGTTAGACAGACAATGTCTACTGTAACAATACCAACAAACCAATACCCAGTTGTGTAGATGAGTAGGCCGAGCCCAGGAGTCTTAGAATTTAGTATCAGTCTGGCTCCCACCCTGAAATACAAACTAATTATTGCTCTGTTTCGCAATTGTTTCACTCTCAAAATTGAATGATTAACAATATTCAGTGAGGATTTCAGGCTAGTTGGCATCCAGCCTAATAGAAAAAAGGGACAAGCAAGAATGATTAATCCTCCTTTCCCAGCTCTGTGTCCTGGCCTGCCTCCCCTACTTTAGCCCTCTCTCTGTCTGGCACAGTCCAGCCTTAGTCTGCAATGAGATTAGCAACCAGGCTTTCTGCATGGTTGGCTGACTGGCTGGCTGGAGAGGCTGGGAAACCCAGACATTTTCTGACATTCATTCCACTACACGGGTGTTAATCCTTCCCCCAACCCCCTCAATACACTGACACTAACTGACATACACACTGACACACACATGAAGATGAACATTCAGATGCACCCATAGACACACACATAAACTGGTACATGTTCTCTGAACTTTTCAACACATTATTACATTGCACACACACCAACAGACAGACACACACACACACACACACACACAAACTGCGTGCTCATTAACTCTGAACCTGGTTGTTTCCAAAGTATGTCTTTCAGACCACATTTACACTCACACACACACAAACACACAAACGTATAACTATGCCCTCTCCAGTAAATAACTGTCAGCAGCATCAGGTGATGTTTAGAGTTCAGTGCCAGGTAAATCCATTTGAATTCAATCACTTTTCGACAGCACCCCTTTTGATTTGAACGAAACCTTCCATACATATTTGTAGAAGTTATTTTTGGACATGAATGCCAAAACATTAAAGAGATAAGTGCTCAAAGTTGAATCCGTTTGCGTACCCCACCATACCATGAGACATCCATGTCTTCATCACAAGAAAAGATAAACAGTTTAGTTTGATCTAATTTAAAAGCTTAGAAACAGGGTTTTGAAACTACTTAATAATTCCTTGAAAAAACTGTTTTTTTATATGAAAATTGTAATTTTTTAACGTTCTAACGATTTCATGATCTAAATAAGCGTAAATTGCCTTTTTTAAAATTATGTATTCACATATGTTGTAGCTTAGAGCCTATTTTACATCATCTGAGGTTTTTGTGTTGTGTCCGCCATCAGTTGAGACACAGCATGCTGTTGAATACACTGTGGGTGCCATGTTTTGGCTGATAAATGTACTAAAATGGGAATACAATTGAAATGTTAACTTTCAAATGGTACAACAAAGATGGTTGGAGGTACAGACATCTGAGCGTGTTGACTTGAATGGTCATATCTGTTGTTTTAAATTATACTCAATCCTCCATAGGAAACCTATTGAAATCATATACTGTACATATACAGTGAGGGGAAAAAAGTATTTGATCCCCTGCTGATTTTGTAGACGCCCCTATATGTGTTATAATATAAATGTGTGTCCAACCCACATTTTTTATTGCACTTTCAAGAGTCAATTTGTAGATTTTAATTCGAATCATGGTCCCTTGTATGGGGATGACTATCAAGAGAAACACAAATGAAAACACAATGACGAGAGCTGAGTGCTTGTGAAGCTGTCAACAAGTAGTGCGGGGAATAGTAATCAGATGCAAATGGAGAGTTAAAAAGGGAGAGCCTGCATGTGCCTTTTGTTTGTTTTACACTTCCAGTGTGGTGGGTACAGCAGCTCACACAGAGCAGGTGGTGTGTGTTTGTGTGAATATTGAAACCCTGAAGGAGTGTGTGTGTGTGTGTGTGTGTGTGTGTGTGTGTGTGTGTGTGGTCAGCTATGATTCTAGATTAGAGATGGCTGTTGATTCACTCAAGGGACCAGCACAATGTGTCAAACATCTATTAAGGCGTGTCACTCAGCTGTCCACAGCCTCAATGACAAATAAAATAAAATAACATGTTATTGGTTTAGCAGCGAAATGCTTGTGCAAGGACAACCCACATGGTGCATGTTATCAATACTAACCATCTCAGACACATATACTCCCTCTCTTTCGCTCACACATTATCTCTCTCTCTCTGTGTCTCTCTCTCTTGCACGCACACACACACACACACACACACACACACACACACACACAGATAGAGCTCCGCAAGGGGGACCAGTGTTGGGAACTCCATTGTACAGGAACTTCACAACTAATCAGTCAAATATCAATGGTCCCCCAGACAGAGCTCTGCCAGGGGGACCAGTGTTACTGATGACAACAGTGTGAGATGGCCTGCTTTGAAGACCATTGATATGGGAGGTGCATCTCTGAGCGAACGTTTTCTGGATCTCTTTCATCATGATGGCTGCTTTTTTTGTGGCTTTTTTGGTGATATGTTGTTGGTCTCTTAGTATTCTGACATTGTAAATGGTATGCAATGAAATACGATATACACTATAGGATTTTAAAACTCTGTTAGAGATTCAGGGCAACATTTTCTTAGTGCAAAAGAATTGTGCGAAGTGCAAAAATTAGAAAGAAAGATAGGGACACAGCGGTTCAGAGGTGGAGGGGAGGGAAGAGGAGTAGAGTCTGTATCCCCTGCTGATCCCCCACTCTTCATTAAGCTTCCAGCCAGCCCCACAGATTTAGCCCAGATTTTAGGCCTATCTGGGCACAACCTCGGTTATAGACGCTGACTGGTAATTTCTCAACAAGCCTCTGTGGCAGACCGCCAAGGCATTGTCAGCAGAGACCTTAACCCCATCGGTGCCTGCGTCCCCCGACATCCAGACACAGTTGGTCCGCAGATGTTGGGGTCTCCTTTGTCCACAGAATTGTACCCTTTTCACACAATTGTGCCATCCCAAACTGAGTTGGTTCGGATATTTTCTTTTCACATTGTCAGCAACCATGGTGGATGCGTAATCAGGCCAGCTCAGTACAGCTTGGTTGGACTTGGCTCTGTTCGGCTCAGTAGTGTGAAAAGTCCTTTGAAGACCTGATACAGATTGCATGTATTTAACGCTTAACATTTTACCCCCTTTCGTCCACAACCAATGTGTGTAGCCCACCCAGGGGACAATGACTGCCCCCTCTCATTGAAGCCACAAAGTTCAAGGATGGCCGCGGTATTACAGGCATTGTTTGCAGAAAACAGGATCCCTCATTATAGTGAATGTGAAAATGGCAATTTTCGTGGTCAATCTTCATGGAAATAAATAAAAATTACGAAGACAATCATGGTACCAATAATTACTTATATTACACCAGATGTATGCCCTTGAACCAATTATTTTAAAATTGCACACAGAAGAAGTTATAGGGATAATTTAGTTGCTAATGGCAGCCTGCAGTACCCAGTCGGCCTTCAACTTGAGATACTCAATGAGAGGGGGCAGCACTGAGCTAACCTGCAACGTCACTTCCTGGAGTAGCTCAAACAGCGCATGTTATGTCTACATAAATCTCCCACATGAGACACCATCTTAAGCGACTTCCTGGCCTTCAAATGCACTATTGAGTTTTCAAATAGGAACGAATGGTGTCACATTATCGATGGCTTTGTCCATTCATGTATACAGTCATTGAGCCCACCAGCCCGGCACCCATCTTTGTGATTCACATTGGCGGCCATTTTGAGTCAGACTGCTGCCACCACATATCGGCCAGTCGCACATGCTTTTCTGTTCTCCTCAGTAATATCAATGTGTGAATATTTAATTTTGAGTAAACTGTTAATAACAATGTGTCCCTCCCCCCTCCCACTCTGTCTCCCCAGATAATGTTTAAAGCCAAAGCCAAATATTCTCCGGAGCTTAACAAATACAAGTAAGTGGAATTCTGCTGAGTCAGTATCTGTGTTAGTCTAAATGGGTTTTTGATGAGTGGGGTGGGGCGAGGGACAAAGTAGGAGAGAGGATGTTGGGCAGGGGGGCATCAAATGTCCAATAACCCAACTCAAAGCTGGTGTATTAGAATGGATGTTGTTTTTTGGTGAAAAAGAAATGAGAGTTGAAATGCAATGGCTGTTTGAAGCAACACACAACAGTTAAGTCTTATGTGGGACCTTGTCAAACCCCCTCGGAACCTCCCAAAATGTACTGGTCATCTGTTACTAAAAGTGAAAAAAGGTAGATGCATTGCAGTTGCTACCATTTCTGCCAATTGCAAATCACTCTATGGGACTAACATAACATGACAACAACATTCTGATACATTCTTACTAGAATGGGATCTTTCAAACCTTTGGTGCCAACATGGCTCTCATTCAGATACTCCAAGCCCTAGATACAAAACCAAGTTGGCCAAGCTCTGTGTGTACAGTATCTATGACTCTGGCTTCCACTGTACGACTGAAGGGTATTACTGTAGAGACAGTGGAACAGAGTGCCCTATAACCTTGATGAAATCGAATAATGCCCCCTGAGCTTCGTCTCAGCTGTCTCCACCCTGGGCTTTTAGATGTGGACGGGGAAGGTGGGGTCAAAATGTCTGGACTAATAAGCACTTTGATCAGCCGATTTAATGTCTGATGCGGAGTGAAAAGCTGCGAGCTCAAATCCCCAAATCCACCACACAAAACTCCTCCCCAATTTCCATCCCAGTACTCTACAATCCCCCGCTTCACTCACACACACCACACTAATACACACACACACAAATACACATGCACGCACACACACACAGTCACTCATATACACACACACACACACACACACACACACACACACACACATCCTGCAAGGGGGGAGGGTGTAAAGGAAGAGGGGAGAACAGGAAGGGGAGAAGGAGAGAGGGGGAACTGGGAAGATTGAGTGAGCCAATGCAGTAGGATGGGATTGGGTTTGGGGTGTTTCAAGTTTATGGTCAATTTTATTGTTGTGTAGTATTATTGTAACGTTGTATGTACAGGGCTCTAATTAAAAAACATGAATTGATAGCACTGGTGCTCCCAAAATCGTTTGAAATACAGCCTGTATTAATTCTAGCTACTTCTAAAGCACATGCTGTGCCCTAGAAACTCATATGTGTAACCCTGTAAATACATTAGCTTATTATAAAAAGCTAAAATGTTGATACAAATAAATACCTGTCATTGAAATTAGTCATTTATGGAATATTAGGTTTCTACATTATGTAAAAGCACTATTTTCATATTGAGATGCATTGCATTGAAAATCGTACACTGTCTATAAGAGAGTCATGTTTGTGATGAGACCTCTCTCCCGAAGAAGCTATCCCTTTTCCTTTTTTTTCTCTGTGCCTCCAAATGTTTGGCTATACTGATGAAGTTACCAGGTTGTTAGCTAGCTAGCTAATGAGGTACCAAACATGACTAAACAAGGTGAAAATATATATATATATTGCCCCGGTAATATGGGTCAGATATCTTGAACTGTTTGTGTGACACTAATGAATCTGCGCTCAGGAAACAATGCTACAGGGAAGTCTTATCATTATAACAAGTACATATTTTGTCGTACTTTAGAGCCCTGTGTGTGTAGTAAACTAGTGTACCACCTAAAATTGGTTTTTTTTTTCCACAGGGTGCTCATTCGTCTGGCGTTCATCTTTGCCAGCCTTTTCTTCCTTGTGGTGAACCTAACATGCGCCATGCTGGTGCAGGGTGGCATTGGGGGCGACGTGGGCAAGGCAGAGGTGCGGCAGGTGGTGCTGGCCCGGGTGCTGGTCAATGACACTCTCTTCGTACTCTGTGCCATCTTGCTGGCCGTGTGCATCTTCAAGATCGCCAAGATGTCCTCTGCCAATGTCTACCTCGAGTCCAAGGTACTGGACCGTCCTCAATCAGTCATTTAATCAATCAATCAACAAACTAACTAATACATAGTTTAATCAATCAACCAATTAGCCACTTAACCAACTAACAAATGAGTCACAAACCCCTTGACTTATTCCACATTTTGTTGTGTTACAGCCTGAGTTCAAAATGTATTAAATATATATACTTCACACAATACCCCATTATGACAAAGTGAAAACATGTTTTTAGAAATTGTAGCAAATGTATTGAAAATGAAATACAGAAATATCTCATTTACATAAGTATTCCTAAGTCGATACTTTGTAGATGCACCTTTGGCGGCAATTACAGCTGGGAGTCCTTTTGGGCAAGTCTCTAAGAGCTTTGCAAACCTCGATTGTACAATATTTGCCCATTATTGTTAAAAACATTATTCAAGCTCTGACAAGTTGATTTTGATCATTGCTAGAAATCCTCTAGGATTTTGCCTGTGCTTATAGCTGTATTCCATTAATTTGTAAAAATATAAAATCCCTAGTCTTTGCTGATGACAAGCATACCCATAACATGATGCAGCCACCACCATGCTTGACGATATGAAGAGTGGTACTCAGTGATGTGTTGTGTTGCATTTGCCCCAAACATAATGCTTTGTATTCAGGACAAAAGGTTAATTTCTTTGGCCATTTTTTTTTGCAGTATTACTTAAGTGCCTTGTTGCAAAAAGGATGCATGATTTTGAATATTTTTATTCTGTGCAGTCTTCCTTATTTTCATTCTGTCATTTAGGTTAGTATTGTGGAGTAACTACAATGTTGTTGATCCATCCTCAGTTTTCTCATATCACAACCATTAAACTCTGTAACTGGTTTAAAATCACCATTGGCCTCATGGTGAAATCCCTGAGCAGTTTCATTCCTCTCTGGCAACTGAGTTATGAAGGACACTTGTATTTTTGTAGTGACTGGGTGCATCCAAAGCCGAATTAATAACTTTGCCATGCTCAAAGAGATATTCAGCGTCTGCGTTTATTTTTTTATTTTTTTTACATATCTTCCAATCGTGCCCTTCTTTGTGAGGCATTGAAAAACCTCCCTGGTCTTTGTTCAGATTAAGTGTTTGAGCTAGTAATGTATCAATATTTACCGTTTATATATGAGCTATGACGTAGCCAACGAATATATAGCACAACTTTGGATCTCAAAATCAAATGGTTTTCACTGTTTGGAAGTTTTTACGGAATGATCTTCTCTTCTCCTCTCGCTTCGGCCATGCAGTGTGCCTCGCAAAAGTGATTGCTGTCCTCAATTTGAAATTATCAACTTTACCCTGTATATCTAAAAATGGCCATATACAGTGCATTCGGAAAGTATTCAGACTGCTTGACTTTTTCCACATTTTGTTACATTACAGCCTTATTCTAAAATTGATTAAATAAAACCATTTCCTCATCAATCTACACACAATACCCCATAATGACAAACCGAAAACAGGTTTTTAGAAATGTTTGAAAAATTATTAAAAACAAAAAACAGATACCTTATTTACATAAGTATTCAGACCCTTTGCTATGAGACTTGAAATTGAGTTCAGATGCATCCTGTTTCCATTGATCATCCTTGAGATGTTTCTACAACTTCATTGGAGTCCAGCTGTGGTTAATTCAATTGATTGGACATGATTTGGAAAGACACACACCTGTCTATATAAGGTCCTACAGTTGACAGAGCATGTCAGAGCAACAACCAAGCCATGAGGTCGAAGGAATTGTCCGTAGAGCTCCGAGACAGGATTGTGTCGAGGCACAGATCTGGGGAAGGGTACAAAAACATTTCTGCAGCATTGTAGGTCTCCATGAACACAGTGGCCTCCATCAATCTTAGATGGAAGAAGTTTGGGATCACCAATCTTCCTAGAGCTGGCCACCCGGCTAAACTGAGCAATCGGGGGAGAAGGGCCTTGGTCAGGGAGGTGACCAAGAACCTGATGGTCACTCTGACAGAGCTTCAGAGTTCCTCTGTGGAGATGAGAACCTTCCAGAAGGACAACAATCTTTGCAGCACTCCACCAATCAGGCGTTTATGGTAGAGTGGCCAGACGGAAGCCACTCCTCAGTAAAAGGCACATGACCGCCCACTTGGAGTTTGCCAAAAGGCACCTAAAGGACTCTCAGACCATGAGAAACAAGATTCTCTGGTCTGATGAAACCAAGATTGAACTCTTTGGCCTGAATACCAAGGTCCACGTTTGGAGGAAACCTGGCACCACCCCTACGGTGAAGCATGGTGGTGGCAGCATCATGCTGTGGGGATGTTTTTCAGTGGCAGGAACTGGGAGACTAGTAAGGATCGAGAGAATGCTGAACAGAGCAAAGTACAGAGATCCTTGATGAAATCCTGGTCTAGAGTGCTCAGGACCTCAGACTGGGGCAAAGGTTTACATTTTAACAGGACAACGACCCTAAGCACACAGCCAAGACAACGCAGGAGTGGCTTCGTGACAAGTCTCTGAATGTCCTTGACTGGCCCAGCCAGAGCCCAGACTTGAATCCGATTGAACATCTCTGGAGAGACCTGAAAATAGCTGTGCAGCGACGCTCCCCATCCAACCTGACAGAGCTTGAGAGGATCTGTAGAGAAGAATGGGGAAAGATATTTATGTAAATGTGATATTTCCGTTTTTTATTTGTAATACATTTGCAAACTTTTCTAAAACCCTTTTTTTGCTTGGGTATTGTGTGTAAATACTTTCCGAATGCACTGATTGTTTAAAGCAAAACTACCAAAACTATTGCTGATTGTGAACCTGAACAATCAAAATAAAAGCTATTGTAAACACTGTTCAGCAGAGTTATAGCCAGATGAGCGTTGTCTATGGTAGCTTACTTTTCCGGTAAAACACAATTTTCAACAGAGCATAGATAACAATATCCTAGCAAATTACAAAGGTTGTTACTCAACTAATGAAGCCTAATATCACTCAAGCCATTTTAGCATTTGAATGCTGAAGGTGCCGTGGAGATCAGGAACAGGCCGCATATCTCGCGTTGGTCAGCGCGAAGCTGGGCACGGTGTGCAGTTTGACTAGGCTACTGATATGCCTGGGGTTGTTTGGTATGCAAAATGACTTGTAGATCAATGACTGTCAATACAGTTAAATGCAGTTCAACACTGAAGGAGAGGATGCATCAGTTGTCACAAAAGATGAGAGGTATTTTCAGAGGGTAGAATTCATGTAATATGAGCAAAAACATTTGAACTGCCGATTCGTAATGTTTGAATCGATTTTCTGACCAATGGGGTCAGCTGACCGATGCACTTGTATCTTAAACATTTGAATCGGGGACCAATGCGTATCGGTGAATTGTTACATCCCTAGTGCTAGGAAGATCCACTTATGATCATGCTTCAGCCTGCTCGCAGAGGCAACCAGGTTTTTGACCTAAATGTCCTGGTAAAGTAAATGATGCCGTTGACCTTAAAAAGGGCCTCAGGAGGTTTTCTATCAAGCTACTAAGAGAGGCCCATCCTACAATATGTTTAAGAGTGGGCTCTTTGCCTTTTTGCAGATTAAAACCTTACATTTTCGGTGGACTGACAATGGATCCCTGTTTAAAGTATCCTCCTTTTTAAATGAAGTCATACAGAGTTGGCTACAATTTCAATTTCATCCTCCAGAAAAGGCTGATCTAGTATTACAGCAAATAATATGTACAGATTTTTTTTTCCAAGAAGGGTATAATATTTTATATATTACAAAATGATAACCAACTCATCACGGCTCTGCCACAAAATTGGAAGAGACAATTACTTCAGGCCAGGCACCACACCCTCATAGGGTAATTTTTTCCCCTTAATCATATCACTATCAACTTTTACCAGTTGAATGTAGACACAAATATAATACTGAAATTAGGTGATATCTCATTAAATATGCACATATTTGCATATTGCACAAATCCATTTCTCTGGACACTGGATGAAGTCAGCCTAAATATTTTGGTTTAATTTCTGTTAAGACAGTCCAGGACCTGACACCACACATCACTGAGTACCTCTCTTCATATTTCAAAGCATGGTGGTGGCTGCATCATGTTATGGGTATGCTTGTCATCGGCAAGGACTAGGGAGTTTTTTTAGGATAAAAAGAAACGGAATAAAGCTAAGCACATGCAAAAAGCTAAGCACTGCTTTCCAACAGACACTGGTAGACAAATTCACCTTTCAGCAGGACAATATCCTAAAACACAAGGCCGAATATACACTGGAGTTGCTTACCAAGACGACATTGAATGTTCCTGAGTGGCCAAGTTACAGTTTTGATTAAATTGGCTTGAAAATCTATGGCAAGACAATACTTTTTTTAAGAACAATGTGCAAATATTGTACAATCCAGGTGTGCAAAGCTCTTAGACACCCAGAAAGACTCACAGTTGTAATCGCTGTCAAAGGTGATTCTTACCTATGCGCTAGAGGTGTAACATACAGTACATGAACAATACTCACTCTACTTCTCTCTCTTTCTCCCCATCTCCTTCCTTCCTGCCTCGCCCTGTAGGGTACGTCAGTGTGCCAGGCTACAGCCATAGGTGCTGCAGTCATCCTCCTGTACACGTCCAGGGCCTGCTATAACCTGGTGGTGGTGGCTCTCTCTCCAGAGGACCGGCCCAGCCCCTTCAACTACAGCTGGTACAACGTCTCTGACCAGGTAGGATAACCACACACCCACGCACCCTCACAAGCATGCATGCAGACACACACGTAAAATGGTGATAATGATGATCATGAAGATAGTTCAAGTTAAGTCACTGTGACAGGACTAGGGGCATGTGTGAGTCAGGCCTGTTAAACCTTCAGTGAACCCTGCTGTCCTAGATATCCAAAGCTCACAGTGCTGTGCTGTGCTGCCTGCCAAACACACGCATACAGACACACAGACACACATACAACTGCTGTCTGACATATTTAATCATCTATTATAGGGCTGATTAGTCTGCAAACACTCTGTGTGTGTGTGTGTGTGTGTGTGTGTGTGTGTGTGTCTGTGTGTGTGTGATTAGCCTATGTCTGTAACTAATCGGCAGTCACATTCATTCTGCAGTAGTTGCATGGTTGATTTTTCACACACATCTCCATGATTGTTTTGGTTTTTGCTGTTTCTTAACTGTGCACACGTGTATTCCCAATTTAAGAGTCCATGTGTGTGCAATGTGCATATGTGTACTCGTTTGTGTGTGTTCATGCTTATATAATATGTCTGGCTTTACATGGCTCTGTGTGTGTGTTTTGTGTCTGGTAAAAAAAATATTTTTATTTTTTTATTTATTTATTTATTGTAAAGTGGTTATCCCACTGGCTATAGGGTGAATGCACCAATTTGTAAGTCGCTCTGGATAATGTAAATGTAAATGGTAACACTCTAAGCACTTGGTGAAGCTGGTGAAGCTGGTTGAGAGAATGCCAAGAGTGTGCACAGCAGTCATCAAGGCAAAGGGTGGCTATTTGAAGAATCTCAAATATAAAATATATTTTGATTTGTTTAACACTTTTTGGGTTACTACATGATTCCATGTGTTATTTCGTAGTTTTGATGTCTTCACTATTATTCTACAATGTAGAAAATAGTAAAAATAAAGAAAAACCCTTGAATGAGTAGGTGTGTCCAAACTTTTGACTGGTACTGTAAGTATTCACACCCCTGAGTTTGTACATGTTAGAATCAGCTTTGGCAGCGATTACAGCTGTGAGTCTTTCTGGGTAATTCTCTAAGAACTTTGAACAACTGGATTGTACTATATTTGCACATTATTCTTTTAAACATTCTTCAAGCTCTGTCAAGTTGGTTGTGGATCATGACTAGACAGCTATTTTCAAGTCTTGCAATAGATTTTCAAGGCAATTTAAGTCAAAACTGTAATAACTAAGCAACAGCAACATTCAATGTCATCTTGGTAAGCAACTCCAGTGTTTATTTGGCCTGTCCTGCTGAAAGGTGAATTTGCCTCCCAGTGTCTGTTTGAAAGCGGACTGAACCAGGATTTTGCCTGTTGTGCTTAGCTCTATTCTGTTTATTTTTATCCCAAAAAACTCCCTAGTCCTTGCCGATGACAAGCATACCCATAACATGATGCAGCCGCCACCATGCCGCCTTCGTTGCCCGGGCGGTGTGTTTGGGATCATTGTCATGCTGAAAGACCCAGCCACGTTTCATCTTCAATGCCCTTGCTGATGGAAGGAGGTTTTCACTCAAAATCTCACGATACATGGCCCAATTCATTCTTTCCTTTACACGGATCAGTCGTCCTGGTCCCTTTGCAGGAAAAACAGCCCCAAAGCATGATGTTTCCACCCCCATGCTTCACAGTAGATATGGTGTTCTTTGGATGCAACTCAGCATTCTTTGTCCTCCAAACACGACCAGTTGAGTTTTTACCAAAAAGTTCTATTTTGGTTTCATCTGACCATATGACATTCTCCCAATCCTCTTCTGGATCATCCAAATGCACTCTAGCAAACTTCAGACGGGCCTGGACATGTACTGGCTTAAGCAGGGGGACACGTTTTGTACTGCAGGATTTGAGTCCCTTGCGGCGTAGTGTGTTACTGATGGTAGGCTTTTTTACTTTGGTCCCAGCTCTCTGCAGGTCATTCACTAGGTCCCCCCGTGTGGTTCTGGGATTTTTGCTCACCGTTCTTGTGATCATTTTGACCCCACGGGGTGAGATCTTGCGTGGAGCCCCAGATTATCAGTGGTCTTGTATGTCTTCCATTTCCTAATAATTGCTCCCACAGTTGATTTCTTCAAACCAAGCTGCTTACCTATTGTAGATTCAGTCTTCCCAGCCTGGTGCAGGTCTACAATTTTGTTTCTGGTGTCCTTTGACAGCTCTTTGGTCTTGGCCATAGTGGAGTTTGGAGTGTGACTGTTTGAGGTTGTGGACAGGTAGGTGTCTTTTTATACTGATAACAAGTTCAAACAGGTGCCATTAATACAGGTAACGAGTGGAGGACAGAGGAGCCTCTTAAAGAAGAAGTTACAGGTCTGTGAGAGCCAGAAATCTTGCTTGTTTGTAGGTGACCAAATACTTATTTTCCACCATAATTTGCAAATAAATTCATTAAAAATCCTACAATGTGATTTTCTGGAGAAAAAAATCTCAATGTGTCTGTCATAGTTGACGTGTACCTATGATGAAAATTACAGGCCTCTCTCATCTTTTTAAGTGGGAGAACTTGCACAATTGGTGGCTGACTAAATACTTTTTTTCCCCACTGTACATACATACATACATACATATCCTTTTAAAAAATATATTTCCCTTTATTACTTTCCAACCCCACCACCCCTTCCCTAATTGGAGTAAACTAGTGAACAACAATGCTTAGGCCTCTACTTCCAGCTTATACATACTATATATATTTTATGGACACAGTCAATTTTACAAGAATTCTATTTATTTATTTATTTTTACTCCTGAACTTCCACTACCCTCAACCTCTCCGATCATTTTCATGATGTCCATCCGGTTTGCTTCTATATGCTATATCTTTCCAACTGTGCTCTTTCACAAAAGCTCTCAAACTATAACCTATATACTTATTATGGACACAGTATGCTTTACATTAGTTATCTTGTTGTTGTTAGTTGTTATTAGTCCCATCCTTCAACTCCATTCAACACCTCCCATCTATCTCTTAACACCATCCATATTGGATTTCTATTTGCCATATATTTTTCAACTGTACTGTGATGTTTTACAAAAGTTCTGAACCCATCTATTCTCATTGTTTCTACAGATTGTAAATGAAAAAGAAACATTTTTGCTAAAAGTATTATTATATTATTGATCGATTGACTATGACTTTTCAGATCACCCAGTAGTGCTATCTGCAGGGTTAGCTCCAGGTAAATACTGCAATCTTTAAGCCATTCCTGGACCTGTGTCCAAAAACAAGCTACAAATGGAAAGTACCAAAACAAATGATCTAATGACTCTTCGCAGCAAAATCTGCAGAGCTGGGAAGATTGTATCCCCCATATAAATGACATTCTATTGGTAGCAAGAATTTTGTATAATAATTTAAAATGAAAAATTGTAAGTTTTGAATCCGGCTTCGTTTTGCGCATCAGTTCATAAACACTTTGCCCTGGAATCGGTACGTCAAAAATCTCTTCCCAACTATTTTGCAATGTCACGCCCTGGCCTTGAGAAGCTGGTTGTCTTTAGTTGGTTTGGTCAGGGCGTGAGGATCTATGTTAAAATTTCTATGTTTAGGATCTAGATGTGTTGTTTCTATGTTTGGCCGGGTGTGATTCACAATCAGAGACAGCTGTCGCTCGTTGTCTCTGATTGGGGATCATTCTTAAGTAGCCTGTTTGCCTACCTTAGTTGTGGGATCTTGTTCCGTGTTAGCCTTGTATGTGTTTAGCCTGAGGACTTCATGTTACGTTGTTTCTTGTTTTGTTTATGTTTATTGAGTTAAATAAACATGTACGCTTTTCACGCTGCACCTTGGTCTGACCCGTTTCTCAACGATCGTGACATGCAATCTATATGGGACGGCTGTCAATCCTTTGGTCCTGAAATGAAACTGTTATACTTTTTTATTTATCCCAATTATGTTCTTTAATGCAGGGCCGACAGACAAGTTCCTTACTTTTTCCCACCTTCCACTTTCCTCTTCCATTTTGCGGTAATGCTGCAATTATTTGTTTGTAATTTTGGGTAGAGCAGACATTTCGATATGTTTTTGTTAGCTGCATGTGCGACACAACTCCACCTGTCCTACCTAAGATATAATTTATGAAGATTATACCTTTTTTAAACATTTTCTATGAATTAGTATATTTGAGTTCAACCACTATTTGTTGCATAATTTTCTTCTGTCATTTCAAGAGGATTAAATTGAAATTGCAACCAATTTTCTATGGATTTCTTTAGAAATAGTGATATTTGAGAGATGATTTCCTTTTCAAATAACTGAAAGTGAGAGGTTGTAATCTGAATTTTTTCCGAGTATATTCACATCACCATCAGACCATTGTATTGGTAAACTACATGGTAATGTAAAAATTGTAGTTTTTAGTGATCCAATACGTATAGTACATTTATCATAATTTGGTTGTAATCCAGAGAGGTTAGAAAATGTATCTAGATCCTCTATGAGGCTGTTGAGGGATTCAAGTTGTGGATTTAAAAGGAAACATGAATCATCAGCGTACAATGACACCTTTGTTTTTAAACCCTGGATTTCTAATCCCTTGATATTATTGTTGGATCTGATTTTAATAGCTAACATTTCGATGGCCATAATAAATAGATATGCCGATAGTGGACAACCTTGTTTCACTCCTCTTGACAGTTTAAAGCTTTCGGATAAATAGCCATTATTTACTATTTTACACCTAGGGTTACTATACATGATTTTAACCCATTTTATAAGAGATTCTCCAAAATTGAAATGCTCCAGGTATTTATATATTAACCCCAGTCATACTTTATCAAATGCCTTTTCAAAGTCTGCTATGACTAGCAGGCCTGGTTTCCCAGATTTGTCCCAATGTTTCCAGTACTTGCCTTATATTATCTCCATTGTATCGTCCATGTAAAAAACCTGTCTGATTAGAATGAATAACGTCCAACAATACCTTTTTAATTCTATTCACTATACATTTTGCATCACAACACTGAAGTGTAAGGGGCCTCCAATTTTTTTTATGGACTGGATCTTTATATCTTCCACTTGTATCCTGTTTCAGTAATAATGAAATCAGACCTTCTTCTTGAGTGTCTGATAATCTACCATTTACATAGGAGTGGTTAAAACATGCTAATAACAGTCCTCTGAGTATATCAAAAAAGGTTTGGTATACCTCGACTGGTATGCTATCCAACCCTGGAGTTTTCCCGGACTTAAAGTCTTTAATTGCATCCAGAATTTCCTCCTCTATAATTTCACCTTCACATGAGTCTTTCTGTATGGCTGTTAATTTTACATTATCAATAGAAAAAATATCTCTACAATTAGCTTCAGTTAGAGGAGATTGAGGCAACTGAAACGAAACATATGCTTAAAGTTCTTCGCTTCCTCCTTCAAAATATAATTTGGTAAATCCGTCATTTGTAACCAGTTTCAGTAAATTATTTTTGGTAGCATTTCTATGTTGCATTTTTCCCCATATTCCATCCAGTTTGCTTTATTTTTTATAATATATTACACTTGATCTTTGTTGAATAAGTTTCTCAAATTCTTTTAGTTTTTCCTCTAATTTATTCTGAGTCTCTATCTTACTGTTTTTATTGCTATCTATCTGTTCTGTTAGACCTTCTATTTCCTTTGTTTGTATGGACTCTTTTGACCTAAATTGCTTTTTGTTTTCGAGATGAGTACTGAATTGCATGGCCTCTAAAGGCACATTTTAAAAGTGTCCCATACAATAAGGGGATTTGCTGTACCTATGTTATGTCGGAAAAAATCTGTTATAATTTCCTCTGTCCTAGATAAAAACAAGTTATCATCCAATAGGCTTTGATTAAATTTCCAATATCCTCGCCCACGTGGAAATTCTGTAAGAGTAATGTACAGTCGTGGTCAAAAGTTTTGAGAATGACACAACTATTGGTCTTCACAAAGTTTGCTGCTTCAGTGTTTTTAGATATTTTTGTCAGATGTTACTATGGTATACTGAAGTATAATTACAAGCATTCCATAAGGCTTTTATTGACAATTACATTAAGTTTATGCAAAGAGTCAATATTTGCAGTGTTGACCCTTCTTTTTCAAGACCTCTGCAATCTGCTCTGGCATGCTGTCAATTAACTTCTGGGCCACATCCTGACTGATGGCAGCCCATTCTTGCATAATCAATGCTTGGAATTTGTCAGAATTTGTGGGTTTTTGTTTGTCCACCCGCCTCTTGAGGATTGACCACAAGTTCTCCATCATGCTGGAAAAGGCATTGTTCGTCACCAAACTGTTCTTGGATGGTTGGGAGAAGTTGCTCTTGGAGGATGTGTTGGTACCATTCTTTATTCATGGCTGTGTTCTTAGGCAAAATTGTGATTGAGCCCACTCCCTTGGCTGAGAAGCAACCCCACACATGATTGGTCTCAGGATGCTTTACTGTTGGCATGACACAGGACTGATGGTAGCGCTCACCTTGTCTTCTCCGGACAAGCTTTTTCCGGATGCCCCAAACAATCGGAAAGGGGATTCATCAGAGAAAATGACTTTACCCCAGTCCTCAGCAGTCTAATCCCTGTACGTTTTGCAGAATATGAGTCTGTCCCTGATGTTTTTCCTGGAGAGAAGTGGCTTCCTCGCTGCCCTTCTTGACACCAGGCCATCCTCCAAAAGTATTCGCCTCACTGTGCGTGCAGATGCACTCACACCTGCCTGCTGCCATTCCTGAGCAAGCTCTGCACTGGTGGTGCCCCGATCCCGCCGCTGAATGAACTTTAGGAGACGGTCCTGGTGCTTGCTGGACTTTCTTGGGCGCCCTGAAGCCTTCTTCACAACAATTGAACCTCTCTCCTTGAAGTTCTTGATGATCCAATAAATGGTTGATTCAGGTGCAATCTTACTAGCAGCAATATCCTTGCCTGTGAAGCCCTTTTTGTGCAAAGCAATGATGATGGCACGTGTTTCCTTGCAGGTAACCATGGTTAACAGAGGAAGAACAATGATTTCAAGCACCTCCCTCCTTTTTAAAGCTTCCAGTCTGTTATTCTAACTCAATCAACATGACAGAGTGATCTCCAGCCTTGTCCTCGTCAACACTCTCACCTGTGTTAACGAGAGAATCACTGACATGATGTCAGCTGGTCCTTTTGTGGCAGGGCTGAAATGCAGTGGAAATGTTTTTTGGGGGATAAATTCATTTTCATGGCAAAGAGGGACTTTGCAATTAATTGCAATTCATCTGATCACTCTTCATAACATTCTGGAGTATATGCAAATTGCCATCATAAAAACTGAGGCAGCAGACTTTGTGAAAATTAATATTTGTGTCATTCGTAAAACTTTTGACCACGACTGACGATATGTCAATTATATGATGGTCCAACCGCATTCTGTCCCCTATCAACACTTTTTAAAACTTTTGGTGCCAATGAGAATGACATAAGAAAGAAGTCAAGATGACTAGCTTGATTGAGTCTCCGCCATGTATATCTCACTAGATCAGGATATTTAAGCCTCCATATATCTACTAGTTCTAATGTATCCATGACATTCACAATTTCCTCAAGAACATGAGGATGATAGTTTTAGTGTGATTTCCTTTACGGTCCATTGAGCTATTTTAAAACAGTATTATAATCTCCCACCATAATAATAGAGTCTTTTATTGCTTTCAAGGTGGATAATTTATTATATATATTGTAAAAGAAGTGTGGATCATCATTATTTGGTCCATAAATGTGCCCTGACTCGGGACGCTTATATGTTGAGTCAGGGTGTGTATATTCCTTGTTGTGCTTTTTCTATGTGTGGGATCTAGTATGTATAGTTCTATGTTGGACGGTGTGGTTCCCAATCAGAGGCAGCTGTCGCTCGTTGTCTCTGATTGGGGACCATACTTAGGCAGCCTATTGGCACCAAGCCAGTGGTGCGCGTCGCCGGCCCGGCCCGGCCCGTTCCTGCTCCTCGCACCAAGCCAGTGGTGCGCGTCGCCGGCCCGGCCCGTTCCTGCTCCTCGCACCAAGCCAGTGGTGCACGTCGCCGGCCCGGCCCGTTCCTGCTCCTCGCACCAAGCCAGTGGTGCGCGTCGCCGGCCCGGCCCGTTCCTGCTCCTCGCACCAAGCCAGTGGTGCGCGTCGCCGGCCCGGCCCGGCCCGTTCCTGCCCCTCGCACCAAGACAGTGGTGCATGTTCCTAGTCCGGCCCGTGCCTGCTCCTCGCACCAGACCAGTGGTGCGTTTGTCCAGTCCGGCACGGCCCGTGCCCACTCCACCGCTGCCTGATCCAGCTCCGGTCAGCTGCGCCACTCCGGAACCAGAGCAGTCCGCTCCACCGGGGTCCAGTCCAGCTCCGGTCAGCGGCTCCACTCCGGAGCCAGAGCAGTCCGCTCCACCGGTGCCTGATCCAGCTCCGGTCAGCGGCTCCAGTCCTGACCATGATGTCAGCCCCTCTCCAGGTTCGGGGTCTCCCACACCAGGGTCCAGACAGGGCCTGGCGTATCGTGGGAGGAAGGAGAGGGGAAGCAGCGCGCCGAGGTCCAGACCAGACCAGGGGCACAACAGGGAGGCGGAGAGTGAGAGGTCGTCACGCCCCGAGCCGGATCCGCCTCCGAGGCGGAATGCCCACCCGGCCCCTACCCTGTTATGTTTATGTTGTGCGGTCGGAGTCCGCACCTTTGGGGGGGGGGGGGGGGGGGTACTGTCACGCCCTGACTCAGGGGACGCTTATATGTTGAGTCAGGGTGTGTATATTCCTTGTTGTGCTTTTTCTATGTGTGGGATCTAGTATGTATAGTTCTATGTTGGCCGGTGTGGTTCCCAATCAGAGGCAGCTGTCGCTCGTTGTCTCTGATTGGGGAGCATACTTGCAGCCTGTTGGCATGCATTAGTTGTGGGATCTTGTTCCGTGAGTAGGCTTGTTTTGTGTTTAGCCTTAGGACTTCACGTTTCGTTGGTTTGTTGTTTTGTCGTGTGTTTATCATTTAATAAACATGTACGCATTTCACGCTGCGCCTTGGTCTGACCCGTCCTTCAACGAACGTGACAGTAAAGGTTAATGAGCCATATTTGTTTATGGTCCATTAAAATACTGTTAATTAATATCATCACCCCTTTTGAGTTTCTTTGCCCATGGGAAAAGTATATTTGCCCCCCCCCCATTCATTTTTCCACGCAACTTCATCTAGAATTGTTGAATGAGTTTCCTGTAAACAATAGATATTATATTTCTTCTCTTTGAGCCATGTAAATATTGTTCTTCTTTTGTTATTATCTGCTAAACCATTACAATTATAACTGGCTATACTTATTTCACCACATACCATAATGACCTACAAGTTTCAAATCTATTCATCATTATATATGTTTGTAAATTTACCAATAAAAAATACCATAGTGATTGAGTGTCCATATAGCTGTACCATGATATTTGCATTGCTACTAAGTAACCCTCCAATTGTTCTCCACTATTCCCCCTGCTAAAGCCCCTCCCCATCCCAAATTGGGCCGTCATCCCAGTGATCGGCATACCACCCCCGTCCCCCCGGATTCCTAGGCCCCCCGAGAGGCCAGGACCCATCCATCGAAAACAGCACACAGTGCCACCCACAAAACAGAAGCAGGTCAACCGCCAAAAGCATTTCCAATGCTCTCACCTCAATATACACTGCTAAAAAAAATTAAGGGAACACTTAAACAACACAATGTAACTCCAAGTCAATCACACTTCTGTGAAATCAAACTGTCCACTTAGGAAGCAACACTGATTGACAATACATTTCACATGCTGTTGTGCAAATGGAATAGACAACAGGTGGAAATTATAGGCAATTAGCAAGACACCCCCAATAAAGGACTGGTTTTGCAGGTGGTGACCACAGACCACTTCTCAGTTCCTATGCTTCCTGGCTGATGTTCTGGTCACTTTTGAATGCTGGCGGTGCTTTCACTCGAGTCTACAACCCACACAAGTGGCTCAGGTAGTGCAGCTCATCCATGATGGCACATCAATGCGAGCTGTGGCAAGAAGGTTTGCTGTGTCTGTCAGCGTAGTGTCCAGAGCATGGAGGCGCTACCAGGAGACAGGCCAGTACATCAGGAGACGTGGAGGAGGCCGTAGGAGGGCAACAACCCAGCAGCAGGACTGCTACCTCCGCCTTTGTGCAAGGAGGAGCAGGAGGAGCACTGCCAGAGCCCTGCAAAATGACCTCCAGCATGCCACAAATGTGCATGTGTCTGCTCAAATGGTCAGAAACAGACTCCATGAGGGTGGTATGAGGGTCCGACATCCACAGGTGGGGGTTGTGCTTACAGCCCAACACCGTGCAGGACGTTTGGCATTTGCCAGAGAACACCAAGATTGGCAAATTCGCCACTGGTGCCCTGTGCTCTTCACAGATGAAAGCAGGTTCACACTGAGCACATGTGACAGACGTGACAGAGTCTGGAGACGCCGTGGAGAACGTTCTGCTGCCTGCAACATCCTCCAGCATGACCGGTTTGGCGGTGGGTCAGTCATGGTTTGGGGTGGCATTTCTTTGGGGGGCCGCACAGCCCTCCATGTGCTCGCCAGAGGTAGCCTGACTGCCATTAGGTACCGAGATGAGAACCTCAGACCCCTTGTGAGACCATATGCTGGTGCGGTTGGCCCTGGGTTCCTCCTAATGCAAGACAATGCTAGACCTCATGTGGCTGGAGTGTGTCAGCAGTTCCTGCAAGAGGAAGGCATTGATGCTATGGACTGGCCCGCCCGTTCCCCAGACCTGAATCCAATTGAGCACATCTGGGACATCATGTCTCGCTCCATCCACCAACGGCACGTTGCACCACAGACTGTCCAGGAGTTGGCGGATGCTTTAGTCCAGGTCTGGGAGGAGATCCCTCAGGAGACCATCCGCCACCCCATCAGGAGCATGCCCAGGCATTGTAGGGAGGTCATACAGGCACGTGGAGTCCACACACACTACTGAGCCTCATTTTGATTTGTTTTAAGGACATTACATCAAAGTTGGATCAGCCTGTAGTGTGGTTTTCCACTTTAATTTTGAGGGTGACTCCAAATCCAGACGTCCATGGGTTGATAAATTTGATTTCCATTGATAATTTTTGTGTGATTTTGTTGTCAGCACATTCAACTATGTAAAGAAAAAAGTATTTAATAAGATTATTTCATTCATTCAGATCTAGTATGTGTTATTTTAGTGTTCCCTTTATTTTTTTGAGCAGCTATATATATATAGCTATTTTAAAAATATATATCTATTCAAATATCTTGCATATCTTAATTTCCATCATTATCAATTAAATGCGTAATAATGTTGGCAGTTCATGCGTAGGATTGTTACCTATAACATCCCGGAGTCGCCTTGACGTTGAGACTGGTGTTTTGCTAGTACTATTTAATGAAGCTGCCAGTTGAGGACCTGTGAGGTGCCTGTTTCTCAAACTAGACACTAATGTATTTGTCCTCTTGCTCAGTTGTGCACCGGGGCCTTCCACTCCTCTTTCTATTCTGGTTATAGCCAGTTTTATTACTTCTTTAATCAGCACAACAGTTTTCAGCTGTGCTAACATAATTGCAAAAGGGTTTTCTAATGATCAATTAGCCTTTTAAAATAATAAACTTGGATTAGCTAACACATCGCGCCATTGGAACACAGGACTGATGGTTGCTGATAATGGGCCTCTGTACGCCTATGTAGATATTCCATTAAAAATCAGTCGTTTCCAGCTACAATAGCCATTTACAACATTAACAATGTCTACACTGTATTTCTCATCAATTTGATGTTATTTTAATGGACAAAAAAATGGTTTTTCTTTCAAAAACAAGGACATTTCTAAGTGACCCCAAATTTTGAACGGTAGTGTATGAAGTGCTAATATTTAGTCTATCTTACTGATATTGAATATTATGTTTTTATCTTGAGGTGATTCGCACCGTTGTGTATTCAATACGCCATCTTGTCTACCGGAAGTTAGCGAGGTAACTTTGGTCAACTATGAGTTCAACTCGGGATCTCCCTGGTCTTTGTGGTTGAATCTGTGTTTGAAATTCACTGCTCGACTGAGGGAACTTACAGATAATTGTGTGGGGTACAGAAATTAGGTATTCATTCAAAAATTGTGTTAAACACTATTATTGCACACAGAGTGAGTCCATGCAACTTATTATGTGACTCGTTAAGCACATTTTTACTCCTGAACGTATTTAGGTTTGCCATAACAAAGGGGTTGAATACTTATCGACTCAAGACATTTCAGCTTTTCATTTTTTATTAATTTGTAAACATTTCTTAAAACATAATTCCACTTTGACATTATGCGGTATTGTGTGTAGGCAGTGACACAATCTCAATTTAATCCATTGTAAATTCAGGCTGTAACACAACAGAATGTGGAAAAAGTCAAGGGCTGTGAAGACTTTCTGAAGGCACTGTATGTACAGTATGTGTATATGGGTCCCTCTGTGTGAATCTGTACATATATCCCATATTTACGACCATTCTCCCTTGTCTCCCTTCTAAATTGACACTTGGCTTGATTTCACTCAGTCCATCAGGCTTTGATGACAGAGCCATTCTATCCAGATCTGTTTGCTGAGTGGCTGAGAGCTCTGTGGCTGCTGCAGCAACAATCCATTTGAGGGGATTTGGGAGGATATGGGCTCTTTGTTTGTTTGTCTATAGGGGGAGCACAGCCCAGGGCTGCCTGGTGCTAGTGACCTAGATCTGGGCTCAACCCCTGTACTGGAGGTTTCCATATTTCCCATAGGTCATCTGGGGCCACTGTGTGTTTGGTTGACTGTCTGTCTTGGTTTATTGCTTTAAATGTAGTTTAAATGTGTCTGTCTGACACATTTAAGCACACACACACTCATGTGTCTTTGTTTCTGTTTCTCTGTCTACTATCTAATCTATCCATCTTGGTTTGATTGAATTTATCAGGCTGTAGTATACACCATTGTGTCAGTGTGTGTATTTGTGATTATCTGAGGGATAATCTTAAGGTATATTTTGTTCTCAGTCGACATACTTGTCTACGTCTTTATCCTTGCTCTAAGCTGTATACATGCTCATCACTCTCATCACTGTGTCTGTGTAAATATCCTGTCATCATGGTAATCCCTCTGTATACATGCTGTCAATCTCTGTCAGTGTCGCTGTCTTGTTGTCCCCCAACATCTGCCTCTTTCTGTGTTTAATCTTTCTGGTTGGTGTGTGCGTGTGTGTGTTTGTCTGTTTCATTTCTCTAATTGCTGGATATATGTGTGTTGTCATAACAGGCAGACATAGAGAAGATCAGTGGAGAGGCCTACATTATCTTTGGGATCATCCTCTTTTTCTGGGAGCTGCTGCCCACCAGTCTGGTTGTGGTCTTCTTCAGGGTACAGAGGCCCAATCAGAACCTAGTAAGACAAAAGCCTTATTTCACTTTTACATCATAATGTCAACAACGCGTTGCACTCTAGGATCGATAGGGGGGTAAATTCCATCAAATTCAAAAGGTAAACAGAGCAATTCAATAGGTAGCTGAAATGTCTGCGCTAAGACTTTGAGAAAAAGACATGAAGGGGGATCCCTTCCAACACCAGTTAGAGAAGATCATGATGACAAGTGTCTCATACGTTGGCTACAATGTAGAGGGATTTCATAGTTGAAAAGCGAGTCTAATAAATGTTTAGTAACAAGGTTAGCTGGTTGATTATACTGGTAGCGTAGCTAGCTAGCTAACGTTATCTAACGGAGTTCACCGTTGCCAGCTTGCTAGCTAACTTTACCAATGAACGGTTGTCTTCTCACTCTACCTACCATTTGTCCAACACAATTCTGTCTTATACCCAGGTCCAATGTTATAGACTTAAACACAAGCCATAGCAAATAGCCTAGCTAAGTATTCTGTATCTGGTATTTTAGAGTAGGGGATCTTCAGAATAGTGGCCTGCCCCTCTGTATTGTTGATCCAGATAAGGAGATAAGCTACCCCTATGCCAAGGACAGTATACCCCCTCCAAAGGCAGGGAATTGGGGGGGGGTAATACATTGAACATCCCAGACTAATTCTCCTAAAGCTCAATAGTGGACTTCCTCACAAAGAGAATGATAGGAATCAAGGAGGAGGAAGTTAAGTCTGGGGAGGAGAGTGATGTAAATGTTGTGTTTTTACCTGTGGCGGAGAAGCCTCTCAGGAGGGGTACAATGTATTTAGGTCAACCCATGTGAGTGAGGTGGAACTCAACAATGTGCAGGATGCTACTCATGGCAGGGCCAAAGTCCTTGCCTCATTTAAAGAAAAAAACTACCAAACTGGACTGGTCATCCATAACACAGGATCAGTGGCAAGGGCCCACTGTACCAGTGTGGCTGGGGCAGGTGAGAAGTGCAATCATGTGGCTGGACTTCTGTTTGGCCTTCTGGATACAATCAGCACCGACATCAACACTGCACCCCCAAGCTGCACTTCCCAGGAGCAGAGATGGCACCAGCCCTCCAGAAAGGCGAAGAAAAATACTAGTAATACTAGTAAGAATAGGTAAGTCTCCTGACCTGCGTCAGTGATTTTCCTATACAGTAAATATAGTAATATTGATTGGGCCGGCCCACATCCTAGCAAACTACAAATAGGCTAATCATACAAAAATATTGTAAGAATGTCCTCTTTTAATTTCCATTATTTTAGGCGCGCGACATGTGCATGAACATGTGTGTATGGCCTGACAGTGGTCAGGAAAAGGGCATCGGAGGGGTACAGCCAGTACAAAGCCTGTAAATGACCAAGGCCTAACATGACCAAAACAACAGAGGCCTTGTGGATCCTAAAGACAAAACACCATGACACCGGACTACTCTATGTAAGACTACTATCTCATCTTGTCCCATCAAATTGCTTCCTGGTGAAGTTTAAGACGTTGTAATTTATTTAAAGGGATTGTCGTGGAAATTCCTACACACAGGGACACTCGAAGTCAATCTTAAATGAATCATTGTTTATTATCATCATGCTGGAGAGGTTCTAACCAACTCAATGCACCATATGTACACATGTCGATCAGGAGCTCTCACGGGGGAGTCCCGTTAGTTCTCTTATATACTTACACAGAAAGTCATATTTGCATGATTTCGCTTATTCATTATTCATAATTAATTTATAAGTAATGTTTGCTATCATTCATGTGACCAATACTGGTTCATGCATGTGGCAGACCAATACCTCATTAGGCTTCTTCTCTCCAAGCTGAGACCTTGAAACTGAGATATCGTTTTCAAAACAAGGGTCTGGGCGTACTGCCAAATTGCAGATGCTACAGTGAGGATTTCTCCCAGGCGTTCAATCTGTCGCTTGCATGAACACAGCAATTGGTTATTAGAAAAGCACAAACAGAACACAGAAATTGGTTAATAGAAAAGCACAAACATAAAAATGTCCATCACATTCCATCCTCTTATCACTTGTTTGATAATAATCATTACATTTTAATGTAAGCATTTAGATTTTAGCTTCTATATCAAAATATTCTATACTCCTATTAAAGTAAGGGAAATCAACACAGAAAAAAACCAGACACTTCATCATTTCAAACCCTTCATACTGGGTTATACAATCTAATTAGTATGGTAATACTATCATCATAATAAAAGTTATACTTCTATTAACAGGAGTGAATTTATCACACACATACACAGCATGTTAAATAACACAATTTAGACAAACACACACGCTGCAGCCCATTTGGCAATTTGGGATCCCCAACTTCCAAACAGGGATTCCAACCAAGTTGCAGGCGTCCACTCTTGGTTGTGGGAATTATTCTTAACAACGGTGGCAATGTATTCGGCGAGATCAGTCATATTAGAAGAGTGATCTGGGACAAAAGTACAACATACATCGCCAATGATTGCACAAGTGCCTCCTTGACCTGCCAAAAGATAGTCAAGAGCCTCCCGATTTGCAGAGCCAATTTACGCAATTCTTTTAGCATTTGCAATTTTCTCTACGTTTCTAGAGATCTCCTGAATTTGGTCTATTGACTTTCACAGGGAAGAGAGAGAGAACACGTTATAAAAGTTTCATACCAACCTTGATAAGAATGAGATTGGAGCAAGGTTAGCCCAAGCTACAATCTAGTGGCTCTCCTCACATTTTAGGGGCATAGCTCTGTCTCTAGAAGCCTCACCTTTCCAAATCATAATTATAACTATTGATAAATTATCCAACCCAAATTCAGAATGACAGTCCTTAGTGCTTCACGTTGGTTCTATCACTTTAATTTAAGACCCTCAACTTAGCACACACCGATACTGGCAGGATGTACATTTACATTGACATACAGTATATTCATCTTATATTTCTAGCATGGGCGGCAGGTAGCTTAGTGAGTAAGAGCGTTGTGCCAGTAACCGAAAGGTCGCTGGTTCTAATCCCCGAGCCGACTAGGTGAAAGGGCATCTGTCGATGTGCCCTTAAGCAAGGCACTTAACCCTAATTGCTCATGTAAGTCGCTCTGGATAAGAGCGTCTGCTAAATGACTGAAATGTAAATGAAATGTAGCGTTAACTTTTCTCATCACTTGTGGTAATAACAGATTGGTATCTCAATGCATTCTTAGTCTAAATTACTATACATTTCGCATTGTGCAGACCTCCACAATCAACCTGATACCCCAAATAAACCATTTTGGATGAGCCAAATCAATTACGGGCAAGGTTGACCACACCCCTCCTTCCCGGCACTCATCCTTCTGGCGTTTCTTCATGTTCTTCTTCAGATACTGTTTCAGTTCGTCCTCCCAATGGCACATGTTTAAAGGGGATGGCCCTTGATAATGTCTCTCACCTCAGCCGCCACTGTCCTTTACAGTCCATTATGTCTTGTCCATTTTCCTACCAGTACACCAGCAAGTTTTGACAGGATCTCTCTCCATGCTCACTCCACGTGGACTCATGTCGCACTCCTGAGAGAAAAAGCATGAGAGAAAAGGCAGTTGATAATTTTGACTGGATGCTGTGTACAGGTTGCTGGCTCGGACTCAGGTCTCACGGTAGAAGTGTTGAAGGACCATACTGAACGCCATTGTCGCCATTGCTTCAGCTGGGTAGGGGGGTTGGAGGTTCACACTGTTCTTGGTCAAATTATCCCTTCCATGCATCTAGATACCATCTGTGGTCACCTTCGCCATTACCTCGAGAGAGGACAGACCAGAACAACAGTTTAGTTTAGGGCATTTCTGATTCAGGAAATCCAGACAAATTATTTACTGTATGACAAATTATTACTACTACCTGATTCAGGAAATCCAGACAAATTATTTACTGTATGACAAATTATTACTACTACCAATATTCTTAATACAGATTTCTAAAACAAATAAAGAGAAAGAGAATAACAAAGAGAATAACAACACACAGTTGAAACCATTTTTATTCCCAAAATTGGCTTATACTCCCCTATCATCATGGCGATCTCACCGCAGATTTACAGGGTCAGGGAGTTAGAGGGCTAATCCTTAGGGAGAAATCCCGACCATCCAGCAGACCCAATCTGGCAAAAACAAAAAAAGACAAAAACAAAGAAAAGAAAACAACAACAGCAATACACATAAACTAAGCAAAAACGTCCCTTTTTCAGGACCCTGTCTTTCAAAGATAATTCGTAAAAATCCAAATAACTTCACAGATCTTCATTATAAAGGGTTTAAACACTGTTTCCCATGCTTGTTCAATGAACCATAAACAATGAATGAACATGCACCTGTGGAACGGTCGTTAAGACACTAACAGCTTACAGACGGTAGGCAATTAAGGTCACACTTATGAAAACTAAGGACACTAAAGAGGCCTTTCTACTGACGCTGAAAAACACCAAAATAAAGATGCCCAGGGTCCCTGCTCATCTGTGTGAACGTGCCTTAGGCATGCTGCAAGGAGGCATGAGGACTGCAGATGTGGCCAGGGCAATAAATTGCATTGTCCGTACTGTGAGATGCCTAAGACAGCGCTACAGAGATACAGGATGGACAGCTGATCGTCCTCGCAGTGGCAGACCACGTGTAACAACACCTGCACAGGATCGGTACATCCGAACATCACACCTGCGGGACAGGTACAGGATGGCAACAACAACTGCCCGAGTTACACCAGGAACGCACAATCCCTCCATCAGTGCTCAGACTGTCCGCAATAGGCTGAGTGAGGCTGGACTGAGGGCTTGTAGGCCTGTTGAAAGGCAGGTCCTCACCAGACATCACCGGCAACAACGTCGCCTATGGGCACAAACCCACCGTCGCTGGACCAGACAGGACTGGCAAAAAGTGGTCTTCACTGACGAGTAGTGGTTTTGTCTCACCAGGGGTGATGGTCGGATTCGCATTTATCATCGAAGGAATAAGCATTACACTGAGGCCTGTACTCTGGAGCGGGATCGATTTGGAGGTGGAGGGTCCGTCATGGTCTGGGTCGGTGTGTCACAGCATCATCGGACTGA